AGAGTCTCTCCCGAGAGTGTTTTCAATTTATTATAACGAAGTGACTATTTCTCCGAACGTTCGGAGAAATAGTGCCGATCTTTATTTCTCCGGACGGTTTCCGGCTTCCGGTCGCATGATTGTTTGCCTATTTATTGAGAGAGTTCGGCGCCAACTTTCATTCTGCCATTCTGCGAGGTCTGGGGAGGAGCAAATTTTTGGGTCTAGATCTATTTCAAATTTCAAGAGCTAGTCTAGAGATTTTTAGATGGGTGTAAAAACGTAAAAAGAAAGGTTTCACAACAGAATGAAATCAAAATTAGAACAGCCCATAAACAACCACAAATAATGGCGTGTGTCTACCTGTCCGAAGAAGCTTGGCTGTTTTAACCCTAAATGTGCGTAATTTTTTTTAAAAATACAGGATATTACATGTAAATTATGGAATCACACACAAGGGGCCTGCGAGTGTCAGTACATGTTATAATCGGTTTTGGTCGAACGCTCTGACATATCACATTAAAATCTATATCATCATCATCATTGCCTTTCTCACCCTGAACCAGGGTATAGGCCACGGACAAACACCTTCCACCTTTCTCTATCCTGGGCTAGCCTCTTGATGTTCCTGCTGATGTAGAAGCTCCTCCGTCTCCCAAGATCGAAAAATAAAAAAGCTGTGTTTGTCCATGTTTCTGTAACTTACTGTTTTTTACTGGGTTGGGTAGTTGGCCCTCCGCAAACTGACACTTTTCGGGTGGCCAGACCTTTGCACTTTTAGTCACCTCTTACGACACGCTATATCACAGCAGGGGTATTATTTGCTTCCGCATAGTAAAACTACCCCCCCCCCCAACCTGCAGGGGCGACAATTTAAATTTCTCTATGTATAAATCAAGGAGATTGTTCTAAACTCCGTGGTATACATGTATATATATTTAGAATCTAATGAAGGTAGGGACATCATATTAAATGACGTTACACTATACATGTACAACATCCCCCATCCGCTTTTCCCCAACAAAAAATAATGAATAGAAAAACAAAACCTCAGAATAATAACAAGAAAAAAAAATTACACACCAACAAAATAAAACACCACAAGGAGGGTTTTTCATAAAAGAGGAACAGCAATACATATCGTATGTAACTAACGTATTCTACAAATCAAAGTGGTGACAACAAGTGAGAAAGAGACGAAGTGAAGCTAAGTGAACTTTCTTTCAAAAGTAAAGAGGTTCGGTTTTTGTTGTGGTTTTTTTCTTTTTTTTTTTTTCTTTGACTTTTATTCCCCGATTCGGTGACCAAAAAATGAAGAAAAAAATCGAGCCACGATTGATTGGTCGCGGCCATGACAAACGCATGCTAGTTCTATGTAAATAAACTCCTTTCCGAAGAGGATACATCAAAGAAATCTCATGTGGACCAAACCGTGATTCTGAAAGAACCAGTATTAAATGGAACAGTTAAAAACTTGTGCTTGAACATCACATCTGATTTGGACATTAACGACAGTGATGTATTTTAATATTTTGGCCAGCTTCAAGCGTTCCACCCTAGGCTTTCTCAGACAAGCCTAGGTTCCACCCAAAGGGATGAAGGAAAACGAAGCACGTTATCAGTATATACAGAATTAAGGCTGGGATGGAAAAGGCCGCCTCTATTCTCACCCCGGGTGAGAATAGCGCAGGCGGATCTTTTGGCTATTCTCACCCGGTGTGCGTTCACCGTGTTATAGCCTAGGCCAACCAATGTAGCGTTCACCCTGAGCCCTGAACCACAGAATTCTATACTGTAATAACAGAATTGTAGAATGTTGTACCGTGAACAAACTTTCAATTACTACTGTTTGCCTAAAAGCGTGCAATTTTGTCTGTGGGCAGTGGAGAGAGAGAGAGAGAGAGAGAGAGAGAGAGAGAGAGAGAGAGAGAGATGAGTAGGCCTAGGCTAGCGCGAGAAGTTCCGGGCAAAACACAATGGCGACCCGCGTAGTTCGGCTCGTTTCGAAAAGTTAAATAGCATTAGCATCTTTGTAGACGACAAAATTAATTTACTTTTGTGTTTTAACATCATTTTAAAACTTTGTTTTGGTCAATTTGATCGTCCACAC